GCTAATGCTTATGCAGATGCATATATACACATGTGAAGCACATTCACACAGATCTTATTTCCTTTGGAAATGAGGACAAAAGTCAGATTACAAGACTATATTTTTCTATTTTTCTACGTAAATGTATAACAAATTTCTGTTCTTATAGTCTCAGAATGGTATCTTATTCTGGATGCCTGGCAGACTTGATATTATAAAATCTCACTGGCATTAGAAGTCAGACTGTTAATATTATGCTTCTGAGTTCCTACAGCCTTTATACTGCATTGTTTTGTTTATTTTATTATTTTCAGTAGTATAGTTTAAAAATAAACAATATTCTTCTGCTTAATAATGGATACATTTTTCTCTAAAATAAACTGAATTACACAGGAAATTGTTTCCCTTGGCATTTCAAGATGATTGTGTAAGACTTATCTTAAAGAGAGTATTCTGTTGCTTATAGTGCAGCAAAATGTCTAATCACTCATTAGTGATCTGTGTGGGTCTTTCCAAATCAGCTGCATGCTATACATATCATCTTGCTTTTATTAGGTTGGACAGCAATCCATGAAGCATCCTGTAGGGGATTTACTGAAGTCATCTTAGAATTACTGAAAGCTGGTGCTAATGTCAACAGCAGAAGTCTGGATGGTACTTTGCCAATACATGATGCTGTTTCTGGCAATTATTTGGAGGTATATTTTTTTTTGGCGTTACATTTCCTGAGCCTGATTCCCAGCACAGGGTCAGCAGAACAAAATCCTGGTTTAAATAACGAAAATCAAAGTTACTAATACAATTTTAGAGTAGGTTTGCATTTAGGAAATGAAGCAATATTCTTTAAAGTGATCAAAATTAGAGAAAGAAATACTTTTTCAATAGTGACAGCTGAAACTGTACAGTTAGCTGACTTTTTCAGTCCAGCAGGCGAATCAGAAAAAATTCAGAAGCTCCCCGTGGTTCTCTTGTGTTGGGCTTTTCAAAAATAATTCTGAAATTGAACATTCTCCATTTGATCATCTAGTGCAACCTTCCTGTCATGGGCAGGGGCAAATTTTGCTACATCAGCTAACGCAAAGCCTTGTCCAACCTGACTTGGAACACTTCCAGTGATGGGACAATCACAACTTTTCTGGGCAACCTGTTCCATTGTTTTACTGTCATCAGTGTAAAAAACGTTTTTGTGAAGGAAAAAACCGTAACCGCTCTGTTTAAAAATCAACCATTTTTTTTATATTCACTAGGCCCTTCTAACCCATACCATTCTGTTTGGATACTACAGTATAGTATAGTTTCAGCTGCAGGGAACCTAAAATGATCATCTTGTCCAACTGCCTGACCAATTCAGGGCTGCCTAAAAATTAAAATGTGTTATTATGGACATTGTCCAAATGTGTCTTAAGCACTGCCAGGGTTGGGGCATCGACCACATCTCTAGGACGCCTGTTTCCAGTGTTTGACCACCATTTTGGTAAAGAAATGCTTCCTAATGTCAAGTCTGAGCTTCCCCTGGCACTGCTGTGAACCATTTCTGTGCATCCTGTCACTGGATCCCAGGGAGAAGAGCTCAGCACCTCCATCTCTGCTGCTTCTCCTCAGGGAAGCTTTAGAGAGCAATGACGTCTCCCCTCCAGCCTCCTCTTCTTCAGACGAGACACTTGCAGAGTCCTTAGCCTCTCCTCACACAATGTACCTTCTAGCCCCCTCACCAGCTTTGTTGCCCTCCTCTGGATGCATTCAGGGACCTTCACATCCTTCTTAAACTGTGGGCCTAGAAGTACACAGAGATAAATAACTTTTGGCACAGAGAGTGCCAGGGAACTGAGCATAAAAAGGTGATGCCAGGTTGGCTCAAACAGACCACTTCTATGCCTGTCAGAAGAGATGATGTTTTATCACATTTATCTTTTCTGTGAAAAAAGATAAAATGAAGGGGATAATTTCACAGGCCTGGTGCCAAACTGACAGTAGGGTCATTGAAAACCTGTAAGCTATTATTCAGTATTGTGGGAGAAAAGCAATGGAGATGATTCTGAACTTCTGGAGAGAATTCTCTTTCTGATACTTGCTGATGCTTAATAGCACTCTGAATGTAAAAAAGAAGAAAGTAATGCTAGAGATGAGAAATCGCACCTATGAAAATTCTTTATCATCCAAGTTCTGACCTCGTCAAGCCTTTCGTATGATCTGAATTAGATGATTCCACTGACACCACTAATGTGATTTCCTTTTTTTACAGTTAAGCAGACTTGCAAGTGGTTTGTAATTGGGGAAAAAAAAATCAACGGTGCATGTAACCAAAAACCAAAACCACTATTAAAAAAATTCCACTTCTTTTCTGCACTTTGATCTGAATACAATTGACCAGTTCCTTTTAATTTAGATAGACAAAGTTTTGTAATTGCTCTCTGTAACATAAATGTAATAGATTTACAGATGATTTGTGAACTATTTATGTATTTTAATGGAAAAATTAGAAGTGTAAGATACAAGTCTGTGTTGATTAAATTTGTCTAATTGGTATTGCAAGTCTAACAGGTTTTAGAATATTTTATTTATAGCTTTATTGTTTGTGATTTATAATAGATACAATACATATAGTTGTATTATAAGTCCACAACAAGAATTATCACAAATAATAATAATATATAATAGGCAGCCAGGATTCTACTGCAGCATGGAGCAAATCCCTTTGAGAAGAATGGTTCGGGGAGCAGTGCTTTGGATGAAGCTTGTGATGATGAGATGAAAGAACTGCTGAAGTCTTACGGTGCTGTGGAGTCTGTACTTCCTGTTGACACCACCGAAGTTACAACAGGTATTTTGGTTTTGTGATGTAGATCGTCGGGGAAAAAAATCCTGTATATTGGAATGCTTCTGCTTTCCAGAGCTGCATATTCCCTGACACTGATATATTTTATCTGTTAGCTACTGAATCTCGTGTATTTATTTATTCATTTTCCATAAAATACTATACATGAAGGTTGTTGGTTTTTTTTTCTTCCATGAGAATGAAGTATAAGGACATACGTGGCTCTTCAGATTTTTATTATTCATATTTCCTTTCCCAGGAACCTTGTGTTTTCAAACATGGTAGCTTTAAAGACTTATTTCCTTATGCTCCCTAAATATGATCTTGTTTGCATATACAAGATATTTTTTAATTATGTGACCTGCCACTGTGTCTTGGTAGCCAGTATTAACTAATCTAACCTATTGTGCTCCTTCCAATTCTTTTAAAATTCAATTTATTTTTCCATAATTATGGAGAGAGGAGATACCCTTCTAGGTCAAGAAGACTAAAACGTCCTTATTATGACTACTGTGAAAATGATGATGCAGCTTTGGAGCCCCAGTGTGAGAAATACAGTGTGGTAAGTATAGATGATAGAGTTTTGTTAAACTGCTTTGTGGTTTAAAAAAGCAAAAAGCTTTATGGTGTACTACTGCACCATACAATTTGCTAACTGAAAAACATAAAAATATCATTTAAATAATTAACCATTTGAATGTGTGTAAATACAGCATCATGCAGAGGCTTACAGTATATAAGCTGTGGTGAAAGTCAGTGTCTAATCGCTGCAGTGTGCTCAGAAGTGGGACTCTGAGCATGGACTAGTGTGAATGCCTGGGCAAAACCAGGCTGTGACAGCCCCTTGCAGAGCATACTCTTGGCACCATGTGTGTCCATCCGACCAGTGCCCCCATTGCATTTACACAGTAGCTCCCTGCCTGGAATGGCTCGAGTCCACCAGGGCTTATCTGCAGGCCATATGTACGTCATGGACTGTGTTTTATGTGGTGCTCTTGGTGCTCCAGCTCTTCCCATCATTTCTGTGTTTGTTAACAGGAGTCTGTTGCTGCCATACAAGATGCAAAAGAGAAGCAAAAAGAACTGTTGCTGTTTGAATTGAGGACTTCCGAAGATGCAGGTAGAGATAAATTCAAGTTCTTTCACTTTTTTTTTGAGGAGGTAGGTATCTTTGTTAATACAATTGTTTTTAAAATAGTATTGCATGTAATATATTTGAGTATCTCCTCTGGAAAATATAGCTTCAGAGAATAAGATTTTAGTAACAGCTCCCAGCTAAGTGTTTCAAGTCAACATAACTGTACAGGAAAGGATAATTAGGTAAGAATGAACACTGCAGGCAACATTATTCAATTACAAGTCCCTGGGCCCCTTCATGACCAAGAACAGCTATGTCTATATGTAAAATAATAGATTAATTCTAGTGTAGCTGGACTTTCAGGAGCCTAAAATAATTTTTGAGGGGAAAAAAGAGAAATCTCTAAGGCAGACACTGTGGATGATGGGCAGTTTCAGAAATGCTGGTGCTCAGACCTGTAAATAGTCTTAGACTATCAAATCTCAGCTCAGATTAATCTCAAGAGCCTACTAAGTGACACTGACTTTCTAGGAGATGGTGCTGCTGGTGCTGTTTATCCATTTGAGTCTGTTGTGTCTGTGCTGTGACTGTTCCAGTGTCAAAGCTTCCTGCAGGAGCACCTTTGACCAAAGTCACTCTCCTCCGCTGCCTTTGCCATCCAGGCAGGGCTGTTAGTCTGGAGCAGCCCAAGCTCATGAAACAGTTTGGCTTCCCGACAGAAAGGAAAGGGTTATTTTCCTGAATATGGGGTGAAGCTTTCAATTTATATGTAAAATAATCCATTTGTTCTTTTAAAAATAAATGTGAAATATGGGATTATGCGGATTTATAGCTTCCAACTTAAATTTATGGCATGTGAACAGTTAATTAAAATCGACGTGTTTTCTTGTGAAATGTTTGACAAACAGGTAGATGATACAAATAGGCAGAAGCATGTAGGCAGAGATGGGTGCAATTTCATAAGTGAGCAAAGTGAAATTATTGAACTTTTCCTGTTTATGGATATGAGAGATATGAACATGATGGTCTATTACCACTACTGACAAAAGAATTAATAAGCTAGCATCTCGTAAACTAAACCATAGCTGTTACTTGTGAAGAGGCATAAGACTGAACAAGAACATAGAAGCATCTTTACAAAGTTACAATATAGAACCAAATTTGCGTGCAGTGCAACCTAGTATAAATAATAGATCGAAATTGCTTATTGAGCTGCCTTAAAAAGAACAATATTTCCATATTTTTCTATTTCAATAAATAAAAAAAATACACCTAGGTACTATGAAACAGGTTTGGGGGAACATTTTATAAATGCTATTTTTAATCCTGTGATTTCCCATGTTTTTTTAATTATGGAAAGGTTGTATTTCCTGTTGTAGAATTTCAGGAATTAGATTACATGTTTAGCATATTATCCCAGTAGTATGCACTGGTCATTACTTCTAGATCTCTCCCTTATGTTATTTGGGTAAGAGATAGGGCATATAAAGAAGAATTTATAATTGGTCTTCTTATTTTAGAAAAATATAGCTGACAAAAGGGACAACTTATATTTAATTTTAGTTTGTAGTACAGATGTGAAACTGTGTAAAACTGATACATATAGGAGACCTGAGGAGAATCTCCAGAGGACTAAGGAGAATCTCCATCCTCTATTGGGTACAGAGGGGAAATAGAATGACAAGGGATGAGGAGAAGGCTGACATGCTGAATGTCTTTGCCTCAGTCTTTAATAGTAAGACCAGTTGTTCTTTGAGTGCTCAGCCCTGTGAACTGGAAGACGGGGACAAGGAGCCAAATGAAGCCCCCATAATCTGGGAGCGAATGGTTAGTGACCTGCTACACCACACAAGTGTGTGAGGTCAGATGGGATCCACTCAAGGGTAATGAGGGAGCTCTAGAAGTGCTCACCAAGCTACTTCCCATCATTTATCAGCAGTCCTGGCTAACCATTGAAGTTCCAGTAGACTGGAGGTTAATAGTTGTGACACCCATCTATAAAAAGGGCCAGAAGGAGGATTCAGGGAAGTACAGGGCTGTCAGTCTGACCTTGGTGGCAGGAGTGGTTATGAAACGCATCATCTTGAGTACCATCATGAGGCATACAGAAAAACCAAGGGGTCAGGCCCCATCAGCATGGGTTTCTGAAAGGCAGGTCGTGCTTGACTAACTAGATCTTCTATGACGAGGTGACCCACTTAGTGGATGAGGGAAAGGGTGTGGATGTTGTCTTTCAGGACTTCAGTAAAGCCTTTGGCACAGTTTCCCACAACGTTCTCCTGGAGAAACTGGTTGCTTAAGATTTGGACGGTTGTACTCTTCATGGGGTAAAAAAAACTGGCTGGATGTCTGGGCCCAAAGAGTGGTGGTGAATGGAGCTAAATCCAGTTGGCAGCCAGTCACAAGTGATGTTCCCCAGAGCTCAGTACTTGGCACAGTTCTGTTCTATATTTTTATCAATGAACTGGATGAGAGGACTGAGGGCGCCCTCAGTAAGTTTGCAGACAACACTAAGTTGTGCAGAAGTGTTGGTCTGCTTGAAGGTGGGAAGGCTCTTCAGAGGGACCTGGAAAGGCTGGATTGTTGGGCTGAACCCAGTGGTATGGGGTTCAGCAAGGCCAAGTGCCAGGTCCTGCACTTGGATCACAACAACCCCATGCAATGTTACAGGCTTGGGGAAGAGTGGGTGGAAAGTTGCCTGGGAGAAAAGGACCTGGGGGTGTTGGTTGACAGCCACCTGAACATGAGCCAGCCCTGTGCCCAGGTGGCCAAAGCACATGGCTTGTTTCAGAAATTGTTTGTCTGGCTGGAGTAGGGAAGTGATTGTCCCCCTGTACTCACCACTGTTAAGGCCACTCCTCAAACACTCGATTCAGTTTTGGGCCCCTCACTACAAGAAAAATATTGGGGTGCTGGAGCTTGTCCAAAGAAAAGCAGTGAAGCTGGTGAACAGTTTTGTGAACAAGTCCTAGAAGGAGCAAGTGAGGGAACCAGGGTTGTTTAGCCTAGAGAAAAGGAGGCTCAGGGGAGACCTTCTTGCTCTCTACAACTACCTGAAAGGAGGTTGGAGTGAGGTGGGGGTCGGTCTCTTTCCCAAGGTTACAAGTGATAGGACAAGAGGAAAAGGCCTCAAGTTGGACCAGAGGAGGTTTAAATTGGGCATTAGGAAAAATTTCTTCACAGAGAGGGTTGTAAAGTATTGGAACAGGCTGCCCAGGGAAGTGTCAGAGTCAAGATCCCTGGAGGTATTTAAAAGACATATAGCTGTGGCACAGTGACATGATTTGGTGGTTATCCGGTAGTGCTGGGTTAATGGTTGGACTTGATGATCTTAAAGATCTCTTCCAACCAGAAAGATTCTGTGATGATAGAGTCAAGATCCCTGGAGGTATTTAAAAGACATATAGCTGTGGCACAGTGACATGATTTGGTGGTTATCCGGTAGTGCTGGGTTAATGGTTGGACTTGATGATCTTAAAGATCTCTTCCAACCAGAAAGATTCTGTGATGATTCTACGATAGATTTTTACTGTTATATATAGCTTGGAACAGTTTAGCCTCATTATACCATTTTATAGTACTTCAAACATAAAGGTTTTTAGCCACCTTCTTAAGATTGTGTAACTTCTGCATGTAGCCTCACATATAACTGTCATGTTACGTCGTTCTTTGCAACACAAACTTCAGAAGTTACAGTACTTATTATTTATAGGACAGTTCTTTAATCTTTTCTTTCTCTTAGTAGTTTCCTAGGCAAGGCACTTACATTTCGAAATTGTCCAATACTTGGGCTATTTCCTTTTAAGTTAAACTTGTATTTAATTCTTCCTTTAGTTCATTACAATTTTAATTCTAATGAAGAATTTCATTAAACGTACTGTAATTGTAAAGAGCCATCAGTATGCTGGTAGCTAAGAGTTAGGACAGTATAAAGTACTGCTGTAACAGTGTTTTCATACTTCAGTTGTGTATTTGCTACATTAAAAATGTTAATACTGTAATTATTTTCTACTGCTGAATGCCATTATCATTTTGATTATATTAAAATGTTGGACAGATGTGTATATCCAAAAGCTGTCTCAGATGCAAGATACTTTGAATGAAATGCTTGCAATTCAGAAAACAGAAAGGGATACCCTTGCTAAAAAGTACAGGTAAGTAGAATACCAGCACCGTATTTATAGGAAACTGTTGTTTGTAGCAGTAGTGATAGAGGTTGTTAGAAGGTTTGCATACAGTAGCATGGAAGTAAAACTACACAGTCATCATTCAGATTTTACAGAAGCATGATCTGTACTGGCTTCAGTTACCTCCATTAAGAGCTTAGATCATGGCAGACCTTCAAGATTTAGCTAATGCTTACTAATCAGTTACTATGCACACAGCGAGGATTAAAATTAGATGGTGAACGTACAAAAGGTGTGGGAAATGCCTAAGGAGAAATTAGAGAATGGTGGTACTGAGCAATCAGATTACTTTTGCAGCACCATGGAGGAAAGGAGTAGCAACTCACACACCACTTTAACTGTCTCTGCCTCCAGTTTTCTTTATTTAGCACCCACTAGATTGGGAATGTTCAGCCGGTAGCCTGCGAGAACCATTTAGAGCAATGGTTTGATGCATACTTGTACACATTCCTTTTTTTTTTTTTTGAGGACATCTCAGATGTGAGCAGATGCTCATCACAGTGTGAACATAAACTATGAATTGTCAGCTTCCTGCTGCTAGCTCTCACAAGGGCTCTTCTTACCTCCTTCTAAGAGGGACTACCTGAATGCTGGTCTTGTGGTCAGTGCTCAGCTAACAATGTAGCATCATCTTAACTGTATTCTTCTAGGTCATCTGATTAGTATGTCTGCATATTGTTTGTGTGAGCAGTGTGTGTTTGGTCATGTAAAAGCAACAGAGTACAGCTTTCAGGTAGATCTGTGGCAAAACAAGGAGGGTGGTTGAGCACAGAGGCTGAAACATGTCTGTCACAAACCACTTTGCCGGCTATGAAATGTGAGGTAAGTAGATTACACAGATAATCAAAAATAAAAAAAAAAAAATAAGGGTTTCCTGACCTCCTTTGGCACAAGATCCACCAGCCCAGTGCAATACTCTCTTCTCCTAGTTCCTCCTCAGGGCACAAGTAATTGCACTACCACTCTGGCAACATGCTGAGAAGACAGAAGACTACCACATGGAAGGTACCATTCCAAAAGGAATGGTTTGCATGCATGGTGTTGCAGCATGGTTTGCTTTTAACTCCACCCACAACAGAGATGCCATGCAAGTAACACCAGAACATGAAGAGAAGTTAGGGTTCCAGATCATGCTTGTGAAGAAACTAGTAACTGAATTAAGAAACAAGAAAAGTAAAGTTAGTATGTACACAACCTTATTTGCCATCTAATATTGAGAGTAAAACTGTATTCCAGAGTAAAGTGACAAATATTTCTGGGTATTGCAGATACCCTGTAGGTAATGGAACAGCTGTCCATCAACATACTACATTTAGCTACATGCTAAATTACATTAAATTTCATTTTTATTGTTTATGTGTTGAACATTTCATTTTTAACCTATTAGCTTATAAGCTTTTGTCACGTGATACAGAAATGTACCAGAGACGAGGGGCATAATTTTTCAGCTTTCTGTTGTTCAGTCAGTTGGCCCAGTGAGAGATACTACTAACAGTTTTCCATTTCTATCTGTTCCTTTAAAGATAAGTAATATGTATCTCCCACCTAAAAAATGTGGGGAAAGTGCATCATATTTGGTAGTGGCTGTAAGTTACTTTGCTTTTGTCATTTTAGTCATGCTATCTTTGCCTCTCCTGTCACAGCTTCTTCTCTACCTGTATAGCATTAAAGCAACAAAACGTCCTTGAAGAAACACTGCTAGAAAAGTGTGTGGGGCCTCACTGGTCTGTGTCCGTAGTTGTCAAGGCTTACTCATATCAGTGATCGGCCTCATGCTGATGTGTTGATGGTATCGTGGTTTCTAAACACATGGTAGCAAGCTGTATCACAGTACAGGCACCAATCCTGTCATGCTGTGGTTTGGCTGTCCCTGTTCTGCACCATGTAGTCTTGCTGTACCCTTGTCTTTATTCATTCAACAGTGTCTCTTCAGAGACTGGGATGGTGTTACTTGCATGGCATCTCTGCTGCGGGTGGAGTTAAAAGCAAACCATGCTGCAACACCATGCATGCAAACCATTCCTTTTGGAATGGTACCTTCCATGTGGTAGTCTTCTGTCTTCTCAGCATGTTGCCAGAGTGGTAGTGCAATTACTTGTGCCCTGAGGAGGAACTAGGAGAAGAGAGTATTGCACTGGGCTGGTGGATCTTGTGCCAAAGGAGGTCAGGAAAATAAAGAATTCCCTTGCAGTAGGAAGAAGGTGAATTTCCCTAGGGAAGGAGTCTCACAGGGAGACCATGCCAGCTAGGAAGCAGGGTCTGATGAAGGGACAGACATTGTTACATACAACATCCTAAACTCTTCTGTCCTTTTGTTAATGGTCACTTGGTATTATGACAGTGGTCTCTTCATCAGATATTTTGTTGTGTACACTGTAAAAAGTTTACGATAGCATCATCCTTCAGTAGCTCATCCTGTGCTCTTTTTTGAAGGCTCCAAATCAGAGCCACAGAGGCATTGAATTCAGTGAACTATCGCAGTGATAAAAGAGCAGCCAGTGGTAATGCAAACCCAGGTTTGATTCTGTGAACAAAGGGTGGTATAGAAGGACAAGCCTATTACTGAAGGTTTGGTGCTTTGCATTCCACTTCTATAATTATAGATTATTATTAATTATACATTTCAACTATAAACTTTATAGATGATAAAAAAATTGTTCAAAGTTTAGGTGTTGGCAGCAGCCTTTGAAACAAATTCTTGTTCTTAGAGGGTTGCATCTATTAAACTGTTTTATTTTGTGTTTACAGTAACTACAGTAACTCTAGTGTTCTTATTGTTACTGGTTTTTTTTTTTTTTCTCCAATAGGGCTTCTGTGGAATCTTTTAAAAAAGGAACACTGAGGGAAGAGTTAGCTAACCTAGCCTCTAAGCAAAATAGTCTGTTGACTGTTGCCCAAACCCAGGAATTGTTGGTTCAGAAAATACAAAATTACAGAAGAACAAAGCAAGTGTTTAGTGCATCATGTTCAGAGAAGCAAATCTCAAACTTAGTTATTTCTCATGGAAAAGATAAACGACAAAGCTCAGCTGCTGATGAAATCATGAGTCCTGATGCAGTTACATTTAGTATGGGGCTTGGTGCCAGCATGCCTAATGGAAACAGAGCAGAAGCACATCTCTGTTTAGAAAACAGATTTTCAGCTCAGGAATGCAGCCAGCATCCACACATCTGCTTGAATGATACAGGAGCAAGCAAAGAAGCAATTAGAAGCAAAGAGGCTTCTGCTCATGCTTTGGCGTCCGAAAATGGGGTAAGAAAGCATCCCTTCAGCAGCGTGTCAAGGCTGACAAATGCTGTAGAAGTGGTGACATTGGCTCTGCAGCCTACTGTTTCCACTGCTAAAACAAAGTGCTCACAGCAAAAAGACATTGGCTGTGTAGCCTGTGTAGCAACTGCAGAACAAGGGAACAAGTCTTTAAGTTCCACTTCAGTGACCAGTGCATTAAATAACATAGAAGCCCAAAGCATGGGTGTGAAGAACAGTGTCTGCCAGCCACACAGTGACTGCCAGCAGGTTCTTACACGTGAGTATCCACGCAGATATGTAAGTGAGAAGGCAGCTTTGCAGCAGCAGCAGCAGCAGCAGCAGCAGCAGCAGCAAGCAATTTCGTCTAAATCTACCGAGAACTTCCCTAATACTCTGCAGCAAATGATCATTCGGAATAACGAGAACTCATTTAATGCCAACTTGGTGCTAACAAATCTTACCTCAACTACAGGTTATACAGTAAACTTTGGTGAGAAATCTTCCCAGAGCTATAGGAATCAGGAATGTGGACAAAAAAAAATGAGGTGTGGAAGAAGAAGAAAGAAAAAGCTTCAGTTGATAGATCTACTGGAATTGGGCAGGATTAAGCCAGGAGAAAATGTTTTAGAACTCAAACTGCAGGTAATTGTTGAGATATAGTAATGTTAATATTAGCATATAATGAAAAGAAACCCAAAACACTAAAATGGGGAAACAGCAGTTCTCGTAGTTTAGTCTGCGTCTTCACCACTTAGTACTGAAAATCAATTTATTGTTTACCATAATCTTTATGAGTTTTCAAGGAATATGGTATGACGTTATCTGTCAGCCCATGATTTTAACACCCAGGATACTGCAGATGCAAAATTGATGTTTCACTTTACATCATCAGTTTGTTAACATTTCCTATTGCTAGAACCAGAATGGAATCATTGGTTGGTCAACATTGTGTAATGCTTGATTTTCATATTGGAAGGAGTGGGAATATTAAGGGTTTTATGACTTAATGTGGTACTTGGAAGCAACTATCGAGTCCTTCAAGTAAAGAAATGTGACATCAAGGATTTCAGAGTGCTGTGATAAACACGAATGTATGCAAGATTACTCACATAACAGCTGGTTCTGTAAAGAAACCCACCAAAACCCAAAGCACCTCTTTTTAATACAAAAGCCATGTCCCTGTGCCTCCAAATACAGAGCAGATTTGCAAGGCAGCTACCAGGGGACTAGCTTGGTGTTGAGCAAATGATGGTATTGTTGTCTGAATTCCCAGCTGTTAGCTAGTTAATTTCCAGGACAGCATATTGATTAAAGCATGAAAGATTCTTTTCAGCCAATTCCCCAGGTGTGGTGGAAGTAGAAAAGACTCCTTTTTCAGCACCTATAATCTGCTCAGGAATGCTGAGATTGGCCATTTTGTGTGGTCTTTTGTACCATAATGCAGTAAGCATTATGAGTAAGTCACAAGCCTCTACGCTGGGCCATGTCATAGGTATGTACACATGCTCTTTTTCCTCAAAGGACATGTAAAATTCCTCTAAATGTCAAGATGACTAAGTGGAAGGATGAAGAATTCAGTCTGTTTACTGTCACTTCATAAGACTGTTATCTGTGATACCAGGTTGGTGCATGTGGAACTTAAGGAGTTACAACCTTGTACTGAAACCTTGATATTTGGAGTGTAGAGAAGTCAGTGATATTTGCTAGGATGAGATGACACTCATTTACCTCTTGGAAGTCAGTGATGTATAGATTAAAGTTTAGAATCCAGTGTCCGTTGTGTCACAAAGGAAACAATCAGTGACGTTTCCCTCTTTATTGTTATACAGATGCACTTGATAACAACATACAACTAGTATGTAGTCCTTGCTTAAGGTTACCTTGATGCAGGCAGGATGAGGTTTTTGAACACTGTAGACCTAAGCTATGAAACTGTGGACTGGATTGAGTGTTCATCAAAATATCTGGATTCAACATTTTAATTCAGGTTCTTAAAGACACCCCAAGCCAGTGGATATAGTAGGAGGAGGTTCAGTATTTGCTGGTGGATCTTTCTTGTATTATTTAACCTCATGCATGCCAAGCAACATTACTAAGTTCTAATGTAGTTTATCAACAGCCGAATTTTGCATTATTTAGCTGTGTTAGCCTGACTGAGACCAGTATAACAAACCTGTAATTTACTGAACTACAAGCAACTATAAACCATGCTTCTGGAGGTGCATGTATGTTTGCAGAACTAGGCTGTATTAACATTATCAGAGAGGCAGTAACAATAAATTCTTTCAGACTTAATTTTGCTTAAGATAGGGCTCTCAGGTTACTCCTAAAACATATAAGCCATGTCCCTTGACCTAAGTGAAGTTTTTATGCAAATACATTTCATCTTCAAATCCTTGCTGGAATTTCATGCATTTGTTCCACACCTGTAAGGCTGATTGCATTTGAGTAACAGTTTCTGGTTACACAGACCTGCCTCCTGTGAGTTCCTGTGTTCACTGTTGCAAATTAATTTAATCATAGTCTTATTATGTCTTGAGAGGAGCTAAGATGCAAATACATTTCTGATAAACACGTATAAGTATATTTGTCCTCTGACAGTGATGTCTGCGTGGCCAGAACATCTTATTCTGGTGGGATAAACGCTCTTATTTTGCATGCTATGGTTTATCATAATGGCACTAAATTCTTTACCATTTTCAGAGGACAGAATTAGCTGCAACTTTTCCGCACTTTTGGTCTTCAGCATTACTTCATGTTTTTAGGATGTTAATTCAGATTTGTTAATTTATGAGTTGAAAATGACATCTTTTTCTTTTTTAGGAGTTTAGTCATAAAGCCACGCTCTTAAAGAATGGCAAAATCAGAACCACTAAGGGACAAATACTTCAGGATCCAGTTCAGTGGGTTAAAGGCCTGCTAGGGAGTGGTATTTCTGTGTCGTGGAAGTATGTGTGGAGTAAGGTAGGCTTAATTTTACTCCAAATTACAGCAATAATAACAAATAACAAATTTCACTCATCTGGATTTCCTTACTGTTCTTGAAGCAAAGGAGGGTACAAGCCTAAAATTTAAAAAGTCCTCTTACCTTTAATGAAAAAGCAGTCAAGAGAGAGCTAGATAGCTGTACAGTGATGAAACAGTTGCAAGTGTTGAGAGAATGTGGAATGCCTACTCTGTAAGCTATCAGCACTTTGGAAGAGGAGTTTAAAAGATAACTAAGAGACTGACAGAAAAAGCTGAAAGGTAGTTAGGATGAAAAGAAACAAGCTGTTTGAAATATCTGGGTGCCAGGAGCAAATGTTGCAAAAATACTGGCAGAGTTCAGAGGGCTTTGCAGTTGGGTTGTATGATGATTTTTTTTTTTTCATTTAGAATTGAAATTAGCAGAATTTATGCTTGATCTTGACAGACACAGATTGGAACACTGAGTACATAAAATCAGTTTTATAAGAAAGGAGAATTTTTTACACTCAACAGAAAACATACCGATTAAAATGACCAGTTATATATTTAGATCTGTTTGTACAGGTTACGTATCTTGGGACACAGTTGTCAAAATTTGTTGTTGAAGAACTGTCAGTTTCTAGTGACCTGGAATTACTATCACAAGAAGGAGAGCCTTCAGGTAGGTACCACTTAAAATGTAATATTCGCCATGACTAAAAGCAGCAGAAAATGATCTCTTAAGAACTTGAATTCCAAAATTCCTTTATTGCACTCTGCTTTATTTTTTTTTTTTCCCATGCTACATGCTTATCACAGATCTTGGGCTTGAAAAATAAATGGTGCCAGAATTTATGCATGAGCTCTAAAGAAATATTCTTCTTTTCTTCCATAAAATGGTTGTGTGGAAAGAATAGTTACTGATGACATGGTTATGTAAAAACTATTTATATAAAATTTTACAATAAAAACTTCACTATATATTACATATTTTTAATAAGCTAACCTGATACTTATTTAGTCTGTTAGAAACTCAGATACACTATTGTGAGTTTTAATCACACATACTTATTAAAATCACGTTAAAAAATATGTTGGTGGAAATCCTAGTATGCCCAAGAAACAGTAATAACTAGGGGGATATTTTATTCTCTAAAAATAAACAGTCATAAGAAACAGCAGGCATTAATATGACAAACTGACATGGAACAATTTTTTCAGAACTGCCTGGCAGACTTAGGTCATTCAACCTAATTTTGACAAGTAAAGTGTTCCCAGCAAAACCCAAGTCCTTTTGACAGGCAGTTGCATTTAGGGTACAAAAAGCTTTTGGGCTGTTGTGATTGGCTGTTTTAGTTTGATGAGACACTACACCTCAGGTGAGCTGGGATAGCAGGCTTGATCTGTTCACAACAAAGTAAAAATAAGTTAAAAGACAGTAATTTAAAATAGGCATTTTGATATTGAGACTATCATCTTCTGCTGGTATTTGCTTCAGGCTGAGAGCATCCAGATGATCAGTTTACATTGCTCTGCTTCCGTAACTTAAGTTTATACCAGGTGGAAGTGACTTAAAAATGGATTTAGTCTCCTGAGTTTTTAACAGGCTTTTGAATATTTCATTAGTTCTTGTAAATTATTCCTCTTGTGGAAAATTAATCATAAACATTATACATTCTAAACCCGATAAATCAATTTATTCAAAAAATACTTTTGGCAAATAAAAACCATCCTGAAGATCAGGATGAGATTTTTTCCTGATGTTTTTCACGAATAGCCCAAGTAATCTGGGAAGGAGTATTTAAAGAAGTTTTTTTGTCACATGTAATTTAAGGCCGCGCTAATTCCTAACCATTAGCCCTAGGTGAGAAATTGAAGGAGGGAAAGCCAAAATGTTCTCAGTTTCAGTTCTGTTTGAGATACTGCATGACCAGATATATAGTAGGAAATTAAACAGTGCCTTCAATCCTTCAGAAGAGGATTAACCTGCACTGTAGTATTGTGGGAACAGTTGTGGGCATTGCCGAGCTCGCAGAGGGTTTCCAGGCCTCGTTCAGCAGTTAATTTGTTCCAAGGGCCGTTGCCAACAGGCGTGATGCCTGCAGCCAGCCTGCTCAAAAGCACAGGGAAGTCTGCTGTTGTGGAGGTGAGGTGTTCTGTGACGCTTGCTTGGGGACATTCCCAGGCACTCTTTCTTTCTAATAAACTTACAGCTTGTGTCTGTTCTATAGTAGAACTTTATCCTGCTTTTGTAAAGAATGGATCTTCATGTTTTTCTTGCCATATTAATGATTTTTTTTGCCTCTGCATCCCAGAGCATCATTTCAAAAGAAGACTGGGGCCTGATAATTTGAGCATTTTTGGAGGAGAATGCTATTATTTTTAATATCCCTCCCCGACACTCCTTCCAGTATCTTAGCTTAGTGTTCATTGAGCTACTGTATGAAGAGGATGGGGAAATAGGAAGAAAACGGTACAGGCAGTGGCTGTATCTAACCATCTTTTAGGAGAGAGAAATAGCTACTACTGAGCTTTGTTTAGAGCCAAATTTAGGAAGCACGTGCCAAGAATATCTACCAAATCAAGGTCCCTAGGCAAGACGGGTGAAGGAGTTTCTGTTTTGTGGCTGCCAGTGTAAGAAATGTCCCAGCTTGATTGAGATTAAGGTGCCTCCAGGTCTGTATAGCAGCAGATTTTTAGGTATCTGAAGAATTTTAATGCAAAAACTTTGAAGAGCCCATGAAATAAAGCAGTACCAGACCAATGCTGATATTTAGCAGCAGTTTAAAGATTTCAGTTTTGGGATTAATCATCTAAATCCTAACTAAATTTCACTTTATGTCACTTCTTTGATTCTGCACCTTTACTTTCTTCTTGGATCACGGTAGCAGAAAGCAGGAATTACTGTATTCAGGTCTGAGAAGTAAACATTAAGAAATTAAAAAGTACTTTTAGACTATCTGTATATAGGGAAGCAAAAGAAACAATGATTATTTGGCTTAGAGTTTATTCCTCTGTGCTTTCTGACACATGTAGTGATGACATAATGCTAAAAATGACCAACAATAAGAAGGATTCAGAAGCAGATGTCAGCTGACAAGCAGATGTCGGTGTTAGATATTTCACATTGAAATTCCAACAAAGTGGCTTAAAATAAAAGCATATCCAGTTGTGACAGTAAGCATGATATGAACATTCATTTTGCAGATTGCTATTTCAGGAAGATGGTCTTTGGAAAGGGGCATTACCAGTGCAATCCTTGTACTCTGTCAGTCCCTTGCTGCCTTTAGTAACCATTAGCCACCTGTAAAGATTTGAACTACTACTCACTTTTAGCTCATGGAAGACTCCAAGGTTGTGTGGAATAAAAAGTGTTTTGAAGGGAATCTGGACGATTTCTTAATGGCTGAACCACGGGAGTTGTTTCAGAAGGTTTGTGTAGAATGAACAGCTGAGGGCAATAAGGTTCCGTGAAAGCAAATTAGAGTAGTTTTGCTGTGATCATTTCATCGCATATTTCTGTTTTCCTTGAGACAGGCAGTGAAACGTATATTTAGTAGGCTACTTTTCAAGTTAAAGTGGTGTGACATCTAGTGTAATCTTGCCAAAGAAGACATATATTTTAAAAGAAGAGAGTTCTTGGGTCATCTTAAAGTAGCTATGGCTGGGCTGGTAAAGGAGCAGAGGAAAGTCTGCCCTTATGTCTGTTAGGTGGTGTAAGGCTAAATGAAAACTTCAGCATTTACCTTTATGAAAAATAAAAAGTGTAATGTGCATTAAACCAGCAGTGTTAAATGACTCTGTTTGTTCTTAGGACAGAGTTCTCTTGATCTCTCTATGCTCTCAGGAAAGAACTTTACCATGAGGGACCCCAGCAACCACAATCAGAACCATTACAGTCTTGGTACTGTCTCCATTGCTCAGCCTTGTGGAAACTTTGACCTAAGCAATATGCAGCCAAAACCCCCATCCATGCCACAAACAGAAGCCGTGAAAACATTTCCATGTGCTCCAAGGGAAGCAGCTGTTACAAGGGAATTTGAGAGTAAGATTTCTTTTTTAATTGCCTAAAAAAACTAGTGGTGGGTGGGTGCAGGGGCTGTACAAGAGATACAAGAGGAAAAAAGGCATGGACTTGAGTTGGGTGGAGGAGGGAAAGAATGCTGGGGAAAAATTATGGCTCTGCTAATTGATTGGACTGAACTAAATGACCCAATAACAGAGTTTTTCAGAGCTCAGTATTTTTAATTCTCCAGCGTCCAAATTAGAAACATTTTGTTATTTTGATGTAGTTAGCAAAATAACTCTACATCATTTTAAGTACTCTGTTAATGTCTCCATAAAATAATAGCTTAGACAAATTTCTTCTTGATTTAGACAGAGAAATATGATACAAGTGCATTGCTGAATAATCTCATGTAATCTAATTTAAAGGCAAATGTAGAAATATTCCTGAAGATGCTCTGATCTTTGTGGAGTTGACTGAACTTGTAACTTCGTGGTTTTGGTATTAGATTCCTGTGTTGGTAGCATGTTAAACCCTGTCCATAATATTCTTACAGTTTGAACAGTGCTTACGGTGCTTTGACCTGCTGTTTTTGCCTATACCACCTTTGATTACATCTCAGAGGGATGACCCTGATTGATCACAGTGCAAAGTCAGAGTGGTCAGCTCAGAACCCCCCTTTGCCCACTGTCAGGCAACACTTTGCACTGAAGTGGGTGGTGGTGCTGGGCCAGGTCTGCTGCGAGAGACAGTGAAAAGCAGGCAGAGGTGAAGTGCCTCATCAGTGCCAGCCACTGTAAACTGAAAGTGTGCCCACACTATAAAGCAATTCTTTGTGCATCTGCAAGTCTACACAAAGGCCCTGCAGCTACAGTGCAGAGTATTAAGTAAAACCCCCAGAACTGAGAATCCTCAGCAAAAAATGGTTTATTATCCCACATCTATTTTTTTTTCTTTTTTTTTTTCCCCCTCCAGTGGAAGCAAATAGACTCTATATTAAATGCCAAGGCACAATATTTGGAGTGAGGTGGTCTTTAAAGTTAAAAAAATAGATTGTGTAGTAGATTGTATTTACATTCATATATCAAAATCCAGGTTGAAGTACTGTTTGATATGAATGGAAATTATGTGGATTGTGGCTCATAGGAGTTATGTTTCTGTGCTAAACAGGTGAACAGCCACATTCATGTCTTCTCAGATACCCAGATATACCAGTTGTAGTTCTGCTCACCAGGATAATGGTCTCGTAGCATGTATAGTCCTTGCTGCCCTGTTACCTGACAGGTCCGTCCTGTTCTTGGAATGGAAACAATTACAGCAAGCATTTAGAATAATTTTGTAGCAAAGGTAACTGCTACCAGACAGTGGGGATTATGCAAAATTCAAGATTCATAATACAATAAATATCACTAAGTTGGAAATTTACAGAAATTTTGTTCTGCATAGACATTTTTGTTTATATCTACTATAATTACCCTGTTAATTGAAGAAAAAAATTGCTTAATGTGTATTATAAACTTTAAAAAATTTAACCAGTAGCCCAGTTGCCACATTCTACATTCTAGAACCCAAACTTTTTGCATTCAGTTCAGCTTTTCAGGTTTCATAGTCTGACCAAAAAGTATTTTTGAAAGCAAATTATGAAAAGCAAATTCCTTCTCAGGGAGGAATTTCTTTTAAAAATAAGTGTCTCAGGATATTTCACTGAGTCTCATAAATGAACCTTTGGAACTGCCATCAGAAGCCCCATAGCTCATAGATGGCTTTGCTGTATTTGTTCACACTCTACATTTGTTTCTGAGCAGCCAGCCAGATACACAATGCCTCTTCACTTGATGCTAAATAAATTCTGAATGTCAAGCTCAGCTGTATAAATTGGCTTTGAAGTGGTTTACTTTCTGAACTTTGCTAGTCCTGGAAAATGATAGAAAAATAATTAATTTCAACTTTCTTTCTGGTCAATCTTATCTTCTTGTCTTGTGCACTAGTACAAAGTTGTGATGCTGAAACTGCTGACTTGGCAGGAGAATATTCACATCCAAATTAATGGCTCCAGTAGAATGAAGCCAAGCTATTAAGTATTTCAGCACCTCCTATATAGGTGTAAAATTGGGCTACTAGTAATCACTGCATGTGCTTATTTATAAGAATCTTCCGTTAGAATTTAAATTGTGAAGTCAGAAGAGGTATCTCATATGCATCTTTGAACTGGTGGAAAATATTACTTTGGTATGAGTCCAAACAACAAATCTAGCCCATTAGTGTATTTTTCCTGCAATATGCTTAAAGCTCCATGTAATTATAATGCAAAGAAATGTTACCAGTTCTTGAAAGCTTACATTGTATTTTGTGCTGCATAGTACTCCAATTCAGAGCCCCAGATTCTGCTTAGGATCAGACAGTTACGTCAGAAGCAGCCTTCACTGGAAAACTCTGCTATTCTTACCTTCATGGTTTTGGAGGATAGCTGGAAAAGATTATAAATGCCATTTAGTGATTGAAAAGTCAAGATGCAAACTGAGAACTTCAAGTTTAATTTTATTTATTTTTTTAACAAAATGACGTGTCTTAAAGAAGCTTGATTCTTTATATCTGATTTTTTTAGACTGGATATTATTGGAATAGTGGCTCATCACCATCAATTATGGTGATAATAATATGGAGGAGGAGAAGTATTTTGAAGCATTTAAAAGAAAAAAACAAACAACAACAAAAACAACAAACAAGCGACAAACATCCCCTCCAAAACCAAAAACGCCACAAACCAAAATCCCAGCATCTAATATATGTGTTTTCCATGCTACCTATAGCGGAATATTCACCAACTACACAATGTCACTGTTTGTGTCACTATAAAAGACAGGAAGATACATATTCTTTGTATTTTGTACTTTGGAAGTAGAGTGAGGTTGTAGACAAATACTTCTATTCATAATCTTTTCACATCTCAGAGTTATCTCAAGGTGCAGCTGTTGTTCTGTTTTCTCTTCTTTATGACTTGCAGGCAAAATATTTAAAAGTATTTTCCAGTAATTTAAAGTCCCAGGCATTTACTTCAGGTACTTGGGTACTTTACAAAGAAGCACATAGTTCTGTCAGCAGAATTTACAAAGCTGTATTTTCCAGTAACTCTGCATACCATGACTGAAGTACAGGCCTCATGCTTTTCAAAATCCCCTACCTACTTTTATTTGACTATCAGCAAGGTAGAGTGTCGCATGACTGACTCAGAATTTTTATCTTTCAGGGTTTTGTGAAACTGGCAAATCACGTCAAAGTAACAAGGTGACAGTGTGATTGCACAGAACCATAGAGTAGTAGAGGTTACATGGGGCCTCTACAGGTCTTTAATCCAACCTCCAGTCTGGAGTAGAACTAGCTTCCAAGTTAGGTAGGGTTGCTCACTGCTCTGTCCAGCCAAATTCTGAGTATCTTCAAGGGTGGACATTCCACAGCATGTCTGTACAACACGTTCATGCGGTTAACCATGCTGCTGATCAATATTTTCCCCATATCGTCCTTGCTAAAACTTGTAACCATTGCCTCTTTTTGTTGCTCACAGAAACCTTGTTTCCTTAAGTATCCTGGCTAAAAGTATGTGGAACTGACTTCTAGTCCGGAGCCATAAACACTGGTTTTCTGACTGGCTTTTTACTTTTTGAAACAAGTTGTAAAAGAAATCCTTTGATACCTGACTCATCTTCTTAACTCATCAGAGGCATTATAATGTTCTCTTCTGTTTGGTTGGTCCCAGGAAGGCTGAAATAAGGCTAAGACAATTGGAACTCTGGACAATAATCTTCCTAGAACACATCTGTTTTTTCTTGTATGACTTACGAAATCAATAATGACAGGCAGTGTGATAAACAGCAAGCTTCAAGATGCAGTGGCTTCAGCTGCTACTTTGCTTGAAACAAAGATAAATATTTTTGACACCAGATTCTGGTAGTGTCAGATGAAAGCATTTAGGACCCTACCTGATGATCTTACCTTGGTGAGCATTCTGATTATATCATGCTTCTATCTATTTTTTTCAGGAGTGACTTTTAACAAAGTTAGAACAAAGCCTCTAAACATAAGAACTCAGTCTTTAAATCACCACATGATCAGAGCTTTGGAAAGGCTCTAGAGTTGTTCTGGGTCTGCGTGTAAAACCCACTGAGTGAGGAGCTGTGGCTCCTGTAGATTTTGCCAGTGCATGAAAAACATGAGCTATTGATTTTTCTGCTAGATAGCTTTTCTGACCTGCGCTGAAACTTGGTTTCTACTTTGTCTTATGTTTCTCCCAGTCTGCATCTCAGTGTGCTTTAAACTGCAAAAATTTTAAAGTGTACTGTTTTTAATTGCCCAAGGTTGGCCCTGGAGCTGCTGCTTACCCACTCTCTTGGCACATTACATTCACGTTTTCTAAAATGGTTAGAAATAATTTTAGAGAACCATATGTTTTCCTTCCAAATGAGTATACAAGTGAATCATTATATAATCAAGTATACAATAATAACTCAAAATAGTAAGTTTAAACAGAAAGAAACCTGTGGTGGGAACCTGCATGCTGCTATTTGTACCAAGAAACAGTCTCCTATGAATCGTTTTAAAGCAATCTTATTGCCTTTTAATAAAGGATACTAGTCTATGTGTTTGTTGTTGTTGAACTCAGACTTGGTAATTTGAAACTTAAATAGAATGATTGACTTAACCGAGAAACTGAAAGGCCACGTGGACAACTGTGTAAAAATATTTGTGTGAGAAAAATGGAATAAGCCATTATGCTTTATTTAAAAATTATTATATTTTATTTCTTTAAAAAATGCAATCTTGCATACAGATTCTTTTAGTAGAGGCTTTATACATTTCCTGATTGGAATTTGCATGTATGTCAATTTTACTTCTCTCATCTTTTTCATAATGGAAAAAATCATGTTACAGCTCTACATGAAAGTAGAAAGTAAGAGCTGCTGGGATTTAAATTGTTCTCTTGTTTCCCTAACAGGTTAACATTGATGGATTTATTTAAGAGTGGTGGTTTTGAGTTCCCCACA